CGTTTTACTAGTCCAGTCCAGTCCTCGAAATAACATATGCCAGTACGATCACGAGATCTGAATTTTTTTACCTTTAATGACACTGTAACATCATTATGTTCATGTACCTTAGTCATATTGGAAAATTTTTCTAGTAGATCACAGTCATCAAGAGTATTCATCGTGTCTTCTACTAAGCACTCTTAACTCCATGCAAAGAGCAAACCAACTTTAATTCACGATCGCTTGCACGATAATAATAGCGATTATGTACGAAATATCAAATCGTACTTTACAAGTATTGAACCCGATAGAAACCAATTACAGAAACAGGTATTTAACGGAAGAGCTAAGCTTAGACATTTAACATTACTATTCATGTTTCCTCTGTCAGTATCCCTATCCAATTCGCTGTTGTTAGCGCCACCCCCGAGCGAGGTGTTCGTCTCAGTTTCATAGTTTGTTGTTAATCGGCTGTCACAGTTTTGCCAGTATTTTCGTAGTTTGAGCGAAAACGCTCGACATCGTTTATTGTGGGCCTACCACAAACGGTGTGTGCGTTTGTATGCGAGAACAGCGTACAAGACAGGAGTCTTTGCCGTACGACCTTCCCAAAACAACATTTTGAAAATTGTGTTATTTACAACCAGCGAGCACACGTTAAGTGTCGCACTCTCATCCTCAGTTTCCGCGGTTTAATCAAGGAACGCCCGGGACCATGACCATAAAAAGTCATTATGTCCAGATCTGGATGTTATTTTCCCGGGGCTCGCAAAAAGTGGCTCCGGCTCCTCATAAAAGTCTCGGGCTCGCAACCCCCATGATTGTGATCTAAAAGAAAAATTTTCGGCAAGATTTCCGTATAACCCCATACCTCATTATGCATACAATTCTTGGATAAAAGAAAACAGGCAAAACAACAGATTACCTTTGGGACTTCGGCTTTATTTTTGACCGGTATTGGTAATCTTTCCAAATTTTCCAATATGACCAATGTACATGAACATAATGATGTTACAGCGTCATTAAAGGTAAAAAAAATTCAGATCTCGTGATGCATATTAAATTGTACTCGTGTTTTGTGTGAATGCTATGGCTTTGTAGTTTCGAATAAATTTTACGCGTGGTGAATTCTCAAAGTAAAGTGCTCGTTACGAAGCCCGAGTGAACGCTCCTCGAGCGTCTAGTTTGATATTTTTTCAGATTTTCACCTTCGAAATAATGCTTTCTGGAGAGGAGCCAAAGACTGTTAGAATAAAATGAGGAGAGAAAATGGAAAGATGTGGAACAAACACTAGTGGCTCGCAAGAAGAGGCTCGAGGCTCGCAAAAAACGGCTCCGGCTCGCAGGCTCGCACATTAGTTGCTCTTGCCAATTTGTTATTCCACGTGTCAAATATGAAATTGGGAAACAATCTATTCAATATAGAGGACCAACAATTTGGACATTTCTCAATAGATTAATTAACATAAATGAGTCGATGAGTAAAGACAAATTCAAGCAAATTTTGCGTAGATTTTCCAAGGACATTAAGAACTTCTCATTTAGAGCTTCTATGATGGCTAATAAACACGATAACTATGTATATTTTTAACTTGTTTTTATTTATACACTTTACATCATCCTACCTTTATTTAATTTATTTTAGGCAGGTCCACATCAGCTTTTTGCTACCACTGTTTGTAACTTAACCTGCTTTACCAAATAAATGTATGTATGTATGCACGCATGCATGTATGTATGTATGTATGTATGTATGTATGTATGTATGTATGTATGTATGTATGTATGTATGCACGCATGCATGTATGTATGTATGTATGTATGTATGTATGTATGTATGTATGTATGTATGTATGTATGTATGTATGTATGTATGTATGTGGAAGGCGTCATAAGTGGATTGAGTTTGTTGGTTCTCTACTCTGCTCCGAGAGGTTTTTCTCCGGGTACTCCGGTTTTCCCCTCTCCTCAAAAACCATCATCATTTGAATTTATTTGATTTAGAGTTAATTTGGATTTACACATGACCCCACAAGCTGTTCAGCTTTAAACATTATCGTGTCTAAATAAAGGTATTATTATTGAGCCCGCGTTGTTGACCGCATACCCTCCATCCTAAGCATTTCGTTATTCAGCCCTTTCGAAGTAAACATGTGGAGGAGCTAGATGTCTTCGGAAAAAGTAAAAAGCGCTATCAAGGTAACGGAGGGAAAGGCAGAGATATGTTTTCCTGATTTAAATTCTGTGTTCTACAACCCCGTTCAAGAATTTAACAGAGACTTAAGTACAGCAGTGATAAAGCTGTTTTCCAAGGAACGCTTGGAAGACAAGAGAAAACCTAAGTTAAAAAGTACTTCCAACGGAGAAGACGATGGAACAGATGAAATGTGTGAAGGACTTGCCCAGGAAAAGAGTAACGGAAAATTGACATTAGACACAGGGAAAATACCTGGTGAAAGTAAGTTTTGATTTTGGACATTTTGTAATCCAACTTTTGATACGAGTAAGATTTCAGAAATGAATTTAAGACAGCTAGAAACCGAGTTTGTTTTATTTCAATTTTCACTGTTAAAATTCAGCAGGAAGAGCATCGTAATCAAAGATGGTTTCCATTGTTTTTCTCGGCAACCGGTCAAGTCGCCAAAAAGTCATCTCGACCGAAAGCTGAGTCTTGTCGCCCGCAATTTTAGTCATGTGACCCCCCAAAAAGTCAAGTCGGCAAGATTTCCGAGTTTGATTCATTTTAATTGATATTCACCATCACTTTTATGCTTTTTATGTGATCATCAAGAAAAAAGAAGTGATGGAATCACTATCCTGGAAGGTTTAGCAGCATCTGGTCTGCGTGCAGTGAGATATGCCTTAGAAGTGGTGGGTGTAAAGAGCATAACTGCCAATGATATCAGTGCTGACGCTTACGAAATGATTCAACAAAATGTCGAGCATAATAATGTACAACATATTGTAAAGCCAAGCCAAGAAGATGCTGGGTGAGTTTGTGTACACTGTATATTTAATGCAGATAAATACGACTAAAGGTTAAGTGAATGAAGGCAAGAATCATATTTACAGTACCTCGCGGACATGCTGAAAGCAACCAATGTTTGGTAAAAAATGGGAATATTTCCTAGAAATTAAAATTTTAGGGAAGATTTTTTTTTAGGTTTACTTTACAAGGTTGTTCCCTAATTATACATGTATCAGTGCCCCTCTACAGTATATGGATATAGAAGGTAAAAGTGAATCAAATAACTTTTATTTTCACAAAATTGATACCCCTACATGTATGAAGAACAGACTATTATTTCTTTGAATTGCTCTACACTTTCAATAAAATTACCCCTTAATGACCAAAAAGTCACAGATGAGATGGGGCAGTATTTTATAAAAAAATATTTTAAAGTTATCACTTGCAACCAAATTTAGCGTTTGCGAGATTTTTCGCGTTTGAGAATCCTTAGTGGTTACTTACTACTCCCACGAAATTTGGAATAAAAATTTGAAGTGGAAGGCTGTTTTTTAGACTTGTTTTCCTCTATTCAATGTCCACCATTACTCAAACTACGAAATGGCTGCGCGTAAGTCTGTGACGTCATATTATCCCCAAAATTTTTGCACAAGCTTGTTGTTGAGAAATGGACAGAGATTGCTGTACTTGAAAAGCTCTAGGAGAGTCTAATCATCATTTTAAGGCTGGAAATGCCACCCTAGAGCTGTTTTGTGCAGGATTGAGAAATTATTCTCTTATACAAATGCTGAAATAGCGCTACACAGGCCAAATGAAATAGTTATGAAAGCTAATAGAAGGCATTTGTATGCCCGCATCGCTCAAACCTCCACCCAAAAGGAGTATCCACGTAGATTAGGCATGAAAGAGGATTGTTCCAGGTACCATTCCTAGAATATGGAAACACTTTTTAGCTGGCCATGTCTCCAAGATGTCGCCAAAGGGCGAGTGTTGTTAGATTATGATCATTTCATTCGATTTCTAGACCTCAAGAACATGCAACGATTGAACTTTTCGTATTAATTTTTAAATTTCTTTTGATTTTCTTTGTTATCTATCAATTAATTCTCCAAGACTCATAATCTGCCATATAAGATTTATACACAAATAATTTTTTTTGCTGGAATAAAGTCTTACTGTAACCTGTCCTTTTAAAAATTGCTTTATTGTAGCAATGTTAGCTTTTATTCATGAATATCTGTTCAATAACTTTATATTGCTCTTTATAATGCTACCATTCTGTGGTTAATCATTTTGCCCCAATGATGTACTGTAGACCCAGTTTATACCTATACTCTGCAGGTTTATGAATTTCATATAAAGCACAGTACAGGTACTTAATTTCACTATATAAGAACAGCAAAGCACCAGGTACTATTTTGTTAGAGCAGAATATTTGTATTAACTGATTGATTGTCAGGAGTAATTATATTTGGGGGGGCAGGTCAAATTAAGGGGTTGCGAATGGTCCTTCAAAAACTCTGGGTCTCACAAAATTTTAGTTGAATTTCGTAGGTCTCGCAGTCTCGTTTTTTCAGCGGTTATGTGCATCTTGCAGTCTCGTTTTTTATACGAAGGTGTCAGAGTCTCGATTTTTTGCAAGGCTAAGGGTCTAGAGGTCCCTATTCATTTGTTGGTTTTTTTTTAAATGACGACTGCTCGCCACTTGATATTGAATTTCATTAAAGCAACTTTCAATTTCCGAGAAAAAGTCAATCCCAACTTTTCCTAAATTCTCCGAATTCAACATAAAGCTAGAAAACGTCGTTTTGGTGCCAGAAAAAAACAGTATTTTGTTCTAGGATATCATAACGTAGTGGTATAGTCGAATTTCTAGTTCCAGCTGGTACAGAGAAGCTGGCTAAAAATGGGGAATCATGAAACCTACACACTGACCCACGATAGCTTATGAATGATGAAACCCACGAAGTCGGAGAACTTATCTCTTGCCCCCTGTGGAACTGTGTAAAAGCACACGCATTCCCAGGGAAACAAATAAGTTACTATACTACTCACCTTACAGTGCCTCATACATCGACAACTGAGTAAAATATTTCCATCACTCGTCACGTAATTTTTTCGATGGTCATCTGCAACTCTCCTAATAAGTTTTCATTGTTCTCCATTCTCAATTCAGCGAGTTCTGAGACTCAATGTTAACGTCTTTTAACCAAACAGCTATAGTGCTAGCTGTAAGCTTATAATGTCTATTAATACATAATCTGCAGACCATTCATCATTTTCTCCTTTTGCATCTTTTTATGCCACTTGAAGACTACTTGACTACGATAAAATGTAAAGCATATGTTCTGTTACTTCTGCTTTATGGTTTGTTTTGTTTGTCTTTTTTTCCTGCCTTTTTGTCTTATGGTTTTGGGGAAGTTATTCTCGTAATCTATATGGCAGATGAAGAGAACGCCCTCTAGATGTATGGCCAACGGATGCTGATTCTGTTTGCACAGGTGAAGGCTCCATTGTTGTAACTCGGCTGAGCTGCATCACACACTTATGATAGACCTCTTCATTCATTTCTAATTCAAATTCATCTTCAAGATGAAAAAACCCATGAAAATCTTGTGAATTTATTCATTCACAGATTTTTCACAGGATTTTCATGGTTAAATCAATGGCTTTTTCATGGTCTCAGTGCCATGAAAAAGACATGAAAAATCCCATGAAAAACCTGTGAAAATTTGCATATTCACGACCCATGAAACATTGTGTAAAGTGACCTAGAAGCCATGAAATACCCATGAAAATGGCATTTCATGGCCTTTTCAAAGGTACTGAAAAGGCTATGAAATACCCATGAAAATAGAACTTGTGTGCTAAAATTCAAATGTAAGCTGTCAAGCAACATTTAACTTTCATATTATAATGTTTGTTTATGTTGATTCTGCAAATTGAAATTCAAAGATTTCTACTCAATTTTGCCTTAACACTCTTTGGATTGAAGGGCTTAATTACAGTTGAATAATTGATTTTTGAATTACAATCTTGTTGTAACTAACAATAAATTGTAATGAAGTTATCCTTAACTGTAGACTAAACAGCTGTTTGCCTTTTTTTGCTGGGCTCACAGCTTGTCAAACGTGACTAAAATAATCCTGAAACCTTCAGCTTTTTGATAGATTTATTTCATTGTAAAGCGTAAACTTAAGAAATTGTGGCATGCAAGTGACCGATTCGATTCTCAGTTTTGATCACAAACCGAATATCACAATTTGTACTTACCACAAACTTTCAAAATCGTAGCTTTATAAATGGCCGTTTGACCCTTGTACCATCCAATCAATATGTGAACTGTTGTCCCTTCTTTTAACTCTACAGCGCCAATGACTTGCTCTCCACTTGTACCACTCACGCTGTTCTCGTTTTCCCATTGAACAACAGTAAAACCCATCTTTAGAGACCTTGTATTAATAAACAAATCATGAGCACGAGCGAAACCGATGAAAGGTTTCTTTCAAAGCTGAGCGCCAAACTGAGTTTTCTTTGTTTCCGATCACGAGTATGATCACATGGATATTTCGGCAATTGTCATTGGCTCATAAATAGAATCCGCTGGCTTGCCCGATTGCAGTCTCAACAGAAGCATGCAAAAGTTGCTGACTTCTTTGACCCGTACTCTGCGTTTTGGGTCTATGTTTGGAAGATGATATAAGTAACAATGTGAACTCACTCTATGTAGAAATAATCGAGAAAAATCAAACGTACTACAAGTGAACGATTTGTGGCCAAAAGTTATCAAGGAAACAAAGACTTAAAACCCTGACGCAAGTCCTTCACTTCTACTGAACTTGCAGCGTTGCCAACAGAGTTGTGCTCATCTCAATGAAGAAACATTTGTACAAGAGAAGGAAGCGACTATGGTGCGTTGGAATTCTCGCTTACAAATGGATATGCACATTCCAAAGCGTTCCCATGTTTATGATTATGTTTATGTTTTATGATTTTGGCACTGATCTGTGGAGAAGCGACATTTTGCATCACAATAAAAACTTTTACGATTATGGAATCCAAGAGGCCTTTGAGGTTAGAAAGCAAATCTATTATTGGCAATTAGCAATTAACACAACTGACTGCTACTTTATGAAAAAATGCCTATTTATGTTAAGAATTACTAAAACTTAGTTTGAATAATAAATTTCATGATAAACATAATTATATATACATATGTATGTTTATCTTTTGGTACATTTTGTACAGCATACCTTTTATTGAACTATAGTCTTAAGCCTCTAAAATATTACTCCTTGTCTTAAAATCTTTACATTCAAGATATTGAGAATTTCTTGGAATTATTTGATTGCCATTCATGGGGCATGCAGTTAATTCTGGTGACTTTCTGAGGAATCTATTAGGTCATGAAAGAAGACTTTAAAGAAATTCATGGGTCATGAAAGTAGGCTTTTAAAGAAATTAATGGGTCATGGAATTCATTCTGGTGACTCTCGGGAAATTAATGGGTTGTGAAAGTAGACTTAAAGAAATTCATGGGTCATGAAAGAAGAGTAAAAGAAATTCATGGGTCATGAAAGTAGACTTAGAGAAATTCATGGGTCATGAAAGTAGGCTTTTAAAGAAATTAATGAGTCATGGAATTCATTCTGGTGACTTTCAGGGGAAATTCATGGGTCATGAAAGTAGACTTAAAAGAAATTCATGGGTCATGAAAAAAAATTCTCCTAATTCATGGCAAATTCAGGGCTTGAAATAACCCCATGAATTTTCATTTTGCAGTATTCATGGACCATCAAATGACTTTCATGGGTTTTTCACTAGAAATTCATGGGATTTTCATAAAACTACAGTTCATAGTGTAAGTAATGCTTTTATCACCTTTTAGCTGGCAAATGACCTGATCCAACTTCACAATACCGGTGAATTCATAGTGTAGTTACTGTAGCAAACAGTCCTCTGGATCAGGTGTGTAAATGTGGACTTTCGCAGTGTGCATCAACATTCGGGGTTTCCAATCTTGGGCAAGGTTTCCTAATAAAA